CCAAGCCGGCAAAAAGTGTATCTGCAGCGCTCCTCTAAGTGTATTTGCAGAATGTTCATTTATGGAAAAAAAATAGATACAATGTTTCAACCGCTGTATGGAGTGAATGTCCCAGAACTGTCATAAATAGTCTATTTCTGACAGTTCTGGGACATTCACTCCATACAGCTGTTTCAACCGCTGTATGGAGGGAATGTCATAGAACTGTCAGAAATAGACTACTTATTAATGACAGTTCTGGGACTGTCCTTCCATACAGCGGTTGAAAATTTGTATGTATTTGTTTCCATAAATGGATCCATTTATGGAAAAAATAGATACAAACAATTTTCAACCGCTGTATGGAAGGACAGTCCCCAGAACTGTCATTAATAGTCTATTTTTGACAGTTCCATGACATTCCCTCCATACAGCGGTTGAAACAAACAGCTGTATGGAGTGTGAATGTCCCAGAACGTCATAAATAGTCTATTTCTGACAGTTTCTGGGACATTCACTCCATACAGCTGTTTCAACCGCTGTATGGAGGGAATGTCATGGAACTGTCAGAAATAGACTATTAATGACAGTTCTGGGACTGTCCTTCCATACAGCGGTTGAAACATTGTATGTATTTGTTTCCATAAATGGATCCATTTATGGAAACAAATACATACAATGTTTCAACCGCTGTATGGAAGGACAGTCCCAGAACTGTCATTAATAGTCTATTTCTGACAGTTCTATGACATTCCCTCCATACAGCGGTTGAAACAGCTGTATGGAGTGAATGTCCCAGAACTGTCAGAAATAGACTATTTATGACAGTTCTGGGACATTCCCTCCATACAGCGGTTTCCGGCAAAAAAAAGTGTATGTGCAGAGTTCCTCTATTCTGCAGATACACTTAGAGGAGCTCTGCAGATACACTTATACACTTTTTGCCGGCTTGGAATTATTCTTATTTTCATCCTACTTCTTCTTCTTCTTCTTCTTCTTCTTCTCATCCTCATCCTCATCTCTTCTTCTTCTTCTGAGGATGAGGATGAGGATGAAGAAGAAGAAGAAGAAGAAGAAGTAGTAGGATGAAAATAAGATTAATTCCAAGCCGGCAAAAAGTGTATGTATGTGCAGAGCTCCTCTAAGTGTATCTGCAGAGCTCCTCTAAGTGTATCTGCAGAATAGAGGAACTCTGCACATACACTTTTTGCCGGCTTGCAATTATTCTTATTTTCATCCTACTTCTTCTTCTTCTTCTTCTTCTTCTTCTTCTTCATCTTCCTCTTCTTCTTCTGAGGATGAGGATAAAGAAGAAGAAGAAGAAGAAGAAGAGAAGTAGGATGAAAATAAGATTAATTCCAAACAGGCAAAAAGTGTATGTGCAGAGCTCCTCTAAGTGTATCTGCAGAAGTATCTGCAGATAGAGAAACTGCACATACACTTTTTGCCGGCTTGGAATTATTCTTATTTTCATCCTACTTCTTCTTCTTCTTCTTCATCCTCATCCTCATCCTCAGAAGAAGAGGATGAGGATGAGGATGAAGAAGAAGAAGAAGAAGAAGTAGGATGAAAAGAAGAATAATTCCAAGCCGGCAAAAAGTGTATGTGCAGAGTTCCTCTATTTCTGACAGTTCTCTCACAGCTTCTTCACATGTACAGCGGTTGAAACATCTGTATCCTAAATGGAAACTAATAGATACAAATTGTATCTATTAGTTTCCATTTAGGATACAGATGTTTCAACCGCTGTACATGTGAAGAAGCTGTGAGAGAACTGTCAGAAATAGAGGAACTCTGCACATACACTTTTTGCCGGCTTGGAATTATTCTTCTTTTCAAGTAGGATGAAAAGAAGAATAATTCCAAGCCGGCAAAAAGTGTATGTGCAGAGTTCCTCTATTTCTGACAGTTCTCTCACAGCTTCTTCACATGTACAGCGGTTGAAACATCTGTATCCTAAATGTAAACTAATAGATACAATGTTTCAACCGCTAAACATGTGTTCCTTCTGTCAGAGAACTGTCAGAAATAGCGGAGCTCACTGCAGGGACACTTTTGCCGGCTGATTATGGGAGGATATGTACTATGTCTATGCGCGGACTGTGATCTGTATATGACTTGATATGCCTTTCCTCTTAATAAAAATACTTTTTGGAAAAAAGGAAAATGCATGCTTTGTCATGCGTATCAGAAACATGCTGCAAATGTGCATCATGTTTGTGTTGTCATAACATGTTAAATGCACCCCAAGTGTGGCAAACACACCAAACACTGCAGTAATGCACTACGCTCCACTCCAAAAAAAGTTCTGGAGCTTTTCTGGGGCAATTGCAGCGTGTATGGCAGACTTTTCAAGTGAATGGAATGCCCTATGCGTGACGAGTGAAAATGCTCCAAAACAAACACATTCGGGAATGTGAGTTTTCTCTATGTGGCGATGTGAACAGTGCCTGACCTAGTATCTCCATCCACTCTCTCCTATGTACTAAAGATAGCCATACACTATGCAATCTGATTGTACAATTTTCTTTAGATGTATGAGGAACTATGGACTAGGAGGACACACCTGAACAATCTATTCAATTTGTATCAAATCAGACAGGCCCTTGTACTACTTAGCTAATGGGAGATCTGAAGGAGATTAGATTGTATAGGAAGTTGGTGGAAGGTGGTATTGTAATGAGGGAGGTGTGGTCCAGAGTGGTGAACACATCCTATTACACCCTCTTCTGTGATGCAACAAGGAAGTGAAGGCTTCTGGGAGATGGTCTACAGGAAGTGGATGCTGAAAGATAATCTACATGAAATGATGGAATCTGAAAATCAGTTCAAAATCTCACAGAAACTGACAAAAAAATGAAACGTCCTCTGGATGAGGTAAGTGAAAGAAAAGCACATTGGCATGGCTGGGACAAAAATGGCATTGGAAAAGGCTTCTATTTATTATAAAAAGTGAAATTCTGCCCAAAAAGGTGAACTTATCTCTTAAGTGGTTGTACCGGGATGGTGCCTGTAGCTCCCAGTAAATGTTCAGCTGACGAAGCTGTTTTATGTAAAATAGATTTGAGTGGCTGTACAGCCACTTGATCACGTCTACAGGTGGCAGAAGGGGGTGCCCACCTCCTGCCGCCACTGCTGCCTTTTCCGGGCTCTTCTGTTTCATTGTTGAACCCCATACCAACGAGCAGTGGCATACTGTGCACTGCATAGAGAGAGAGGCATTAATGTTGTTTTTCTACAACCAGATCTCCTGTGTAACTCCAAACTGGTAACATGTATAGGCTGTTAAAACGTCACCTATGGAAATGTTTAGGTTCCACGGGAGCACAAAATTTTACAGCATGACATGTTAGGTATATATTTTCTCAGCATAACATAATCTTTTTTATTTGACCAAAAATCGGGAATTATATTGTTTTATCTTCAAAAATTTTCGCCGGCAACTTGATTGCTTCTAAATCTGGTTTCTTTATTGGTTACAAAATAGTGCTACTAATTTTGAGTTGCCGGCTAATATTTTGGAATATATCTTGGTATAAGTGGACGTTTTAGCCTGAGCATCAGCCTTGAGCTGTGATTGATCAACTGAATGGTTGAGCTTGGGTGAGTTTGATATAATTATTATATTGTTTTTGTGTTCACTAGAATTCATTAAAGTGTTTTTTTTATTGCGTTTGAAAAACCTCTGTACAAATACCATGTAACATAAAAAATTGCAACACCCACCATTTTATTTGCTTGGGCCTCTGCTTAAAAATATTTATATTGTTTGGGGGTTCTAAGTAAATTTCTAGCAAAAATATTGCTGATTTTACATGTATGTGAGACGTGTCAGAATTGGTGCAGTAGGGAAGTAGTTAAACACACTTCAATGTTGTTGTAGTACATTTTATACATCACAAAGACAGACAGGGTCAGGGCAGCCCCCAGACATTTTAAATTTAATTTTACATTTTTTCATGTTTCACTTTAAAGTCACTAAAATTACTGCTCCCAGCCATGTAATTCTGAGCACCATCACTGAAAGAACTGGAATCCAATGAAATAAAGGGGCAGACATGGACAGTAAGGCTAGAGAGGAAAAGGATAGGTTGTCCTCCAGCCAATAAATGAGGTTGGTTCTGTTTAGCTTGATTCAGCTTCACAGTGTGCGGTGAAATCAGACTAAGCAATTTCAGCACAGGAGAGGAGCCGGTACAACAGAGCCAGATTAAAGATACGACTGAAGTTCAGCTTTAAAGTTGTATAGCATAGAACACGGGTGTCAAACTGGCATCCCTCCAGCTGTTGTCAAACTACAAGTCCCTTGAGGCATTGCAAGACTGACAGTTACAACCATGACTCCCAAAGGCAGAGGCATGATGGGACTTGTAGTTTCGCAACAGCTGGAGGGCCGCCAGTTTGACACCCCTGGCATAGAAGAATAGTTTAGTAATATACATTGTTGACTATTATGGCTACCATGATGTTGGCCTGTTTTCCAGAAATGGCTGACATACCAATTGCCTTTGTGAAATTCCATTCCAAGATGGTAACTGTGAGTTAGTGGGTAACAGTGCTTATTCCAAAAGGTCTTTTAAGACTACACAACCTGGTCACTTCCCCACCATCTCATACATTAGGAACACTCTAGTCATTTTCTCTGCTTTTTTGTACATCAGGGGATGCACTGCACTCCTCACAAAGGCGCGTAACTGAGGTTCTTTATTATGATTTGTTCCTACTGAGTACTGATGACATTTCAGTGGCATCTGTCAATCCCTAGAAACCAAAAATTACAAGGCTGACAATATTACAGCCCCCATCAATACTCAGACTTTGTTTTACAACACATCATATGCTAGGAGCTATAATCCAGGTAATCATCAACATACCAGATGATACTGTCACAAGAGCCTAGCAGTAGGGATCTTTGGAAATTGTGTTAGAAAATGAATAGTTTAGATCAATAGGTTGGGTAATTTCATATAAAAGTGTGTTTAGAGTCACAATTTTACTATTTAAGCATTATCTCCACCTGCCTTTGATCTTCATAAATCTGTCCCTAAGACACCGAGCTTCCTCCTGGATTCTTTCCTCCACACTCCTCTTCCCCATCCCAAAATTTCTTAGTGTTGTCAGGGAAAAAGCGACGCATCATCTTCCATCTCTCTCCATTGCTCATGATGACCCCTAAAAAAATTTGAAAGGTTTTACATATTTATCTTAATAACCCCTTAAAATTCAAACATTTTAAGAAATGATCTATTGATTCCCTCTGTAATCCCACCAGGGGCACTATAAGCATGAAGCTTTTGTGTCCTCACAGTCTTTGCATTGGTTTCTTCCTAGAATATGTAAATATATTGATAATTTAAAGGTTTAGTTACTTTTCAGAAAAAGAGTAAAGGTGAACTACCATCATACACCCATCCCACCCCCTAGTGCCCACTCTACTTACCTCTGTGGGTGCGCTGTCAGCACACACACTCTTCTCCGCATTTCATCTCCAGGGCTTTTGGGACAGATTTGAAATGATTCTCTGTGCTGTTGCTGACCAATCAGATCACTATGATCTGTCACAGAAACCCTGCAGAAGGAAAGGGAGAAGCAGGCATTTCAAATCCTAGGACTGCCACAAATGGCTTTGTGAGCACTGACAGCTCATCGCCCTATAAAGGTAAGTACAGAGAAAACGGGGGGTAGGGTATTAGTTACAACTTTTAATGTTTTCCTGAAAAGGTAAACTTGCACTTTAACATACAAGTGAAGGTGATATGTACTGTATTCTTGGTCCGTACCTACACATACAGCTAGAGAATTCACCTCTTGTATTTCGAGATACTTTGTGAAAAATGTCACATGACTGAGATCCAGAATGCAATACTTTGGGTTTATTGGCTCCCTCATGAACTGCTCTGTGTGTATGAGTATAATATAATGTAACAGACATTAGACTGAGTTTTTTGGAAAACAGAGTCTTATATAAATGGCTCTGTGTAGCCATAATGAGGTCTGCTGAACCCAAACTGAATGAACAGAATGGGAAAATTATACTAAACACAGTTCCACCTTATTTCTCCATAATTTGCAAATCAGCAATGAAAATTGTTTGAACTAAATATAATGTCTGTGCAAGGCATTCATGGGATTTAATCCAGTTGACAAAAAGAAAACCAATCTACAGAAAATAGCCCCAAATTAGACAGAAGACAGGAAAATTAGCTGTCAGGCAGAGGGTCACAAAATTTCTAGCAGTATCATAAGCAGTACTTAGCGATAAAAACAATCAGATTTCAATCTAATATCTGTGCTAGACATTCATTGGGATTTAAAACATTTTACAAAGAAAATTTCCAGTTAATAGCACAATTGATAGAAAAACAGTCATAGGTTATATGGAAAGGAGAGAAAGCAAGATGGCAGACAGGAGATTGTAAAAACTTTTAGTAGTGTCATAAAACAGTACTTTGCAGAATAAGAAAAACCTCTTAATTCAGGCTTGTCGTAAATGACCTATTTTAGATCCTGTCTAGTAATAAAAATACACATCTGCAAGTCTGGGTTTTTGCCTGAGATCAAACTACCCAGAGCTAAACAATAAATAATTTCCATAATTCCTACTATGATGAAAATAAGAAATTAACAGTCAGTTAGACACCAAGCATGCCTTCAGTAAATTACAGGAGTAGAAGACTACAAAATTACCATAGATTAGTATCTGTATTTTTCGCTCCACAAGACGCACTTTTTTTCCCCCCAAAAAGGGGGGGAAAATGTCAGTGCGTCTTATGGAGCGAATATGAAGCGGCCGGTCCGGTATTTCCACCGCCGCCACCATGTCAGAATACCGGGACCGGCGCCGCTCAGCTGTTCTCTCCTGCAGGACCTTACCTGTTCTCGGTCCAGCATTGTAAATGTCTTTTCTCATGCCGGCTTCTTCCTGCGCTGGCTTCTGTGACAGCCGGGTGCCCACCTGCGCTATGCGCGAGAAGCGCTTGCACTTTGTGAATGGTCCGGCGACTTTTGGGACACATGACCCCAGGTCCCAGAAGGCGCCGGGCCCATTCACAAAGCGCAGCTCTTCTCGACACTAAAGAAAGGACAAACTCAAATTCAGGTACCCGCTCCCCCGTCCCCCTCTCCAAAGGTCCGCAGGTCTCTCTTGGTCATCCCTGTACTGTCTGCAGTCTCTGGTCATCCCCTGTACTGTCTGCAGTCTCTGGTCATCCCCCCTGTACTGTCCGCAGTCTCTGGTCATCCCCTGTACTGTCTGCAGTCTCTGGTATTTTCCTGTACTATGTTCACAGACTCTGGTCATCTGTACTATGTCCGCAGTCTCTGGTCATTCCCTGTTACTATGTCCACAGTCTGTGGTCATCTCCAGTAGTGTGTCTGTAGTCATCTCTTGTACTGTGTCCGCAGTCTCTGGTCATCTCCTGTACTATGTCCGCAGTCTCTGGTCATCTCCTGTACTATGTCCGCAATCTGCTGGTCATCTCCTGTACTACGCCTGCAGTCTCTGGTCATCCCCTGTACTATGTTCACAGACTCTGGTCATCTCCTGTACTATGTCCACAGTCTCTGGTCATCTCCTGTACTGTGTCTGCAGTCCATGGTTCCGAGAAATTTTTTTTTCTTTGTTTTTCACCTCTAAAACCTAGGTGCGTCTTATGATCAGGTGCATCTTATGGAGCGCGAAATATGGTAAGTGCATATTTGGTCTCTATCAAATTGTAATTTCATTCTTTGTAATAATATATTGGTTGTCTGTTGGAAATGTAGATACATTCAGAGAAAAAAACTGGCATTAAGGGGTGTGTCAGCTGAAAATCACAAAACACTTCACCACCTTTCATGCCCTTTGATTGGTTATGTTAATTCTGTAAACCTCATGAACCAGAATAGGTGGGCTGCTTTAGCAGCTCACAGCTTTCACTTAACAACCAGAACTATAAAAGAAAAGCTATGGGTCATTCGTGAGAGCCAATAAATCTAATACAGTAAATCATATTGGACATACCCTGCAGTGCAACTGAACTTTGTAAAGTGCTTTTCACATTTATTCCAGTTATTTTATTGTTGCTAATTTTCTGTTTTGTATATATTTTTTACAATATTTTCTTGCACCAATTTTTTATGTATTTCATTAAAACAATACTTAAAATCATTAAGGCAATCTCTAATGCTCTAACCCAAATGTAAAGAACATATAGGGGTTGATTTAGTAAAGGCAAATAATTTGTGCGGTTGCAAGTGCACTTCAAGTTTACTGCAAGTGCAGTTGCTCTAGATCTGAAGGGAAGCTCTGAAATGAAGGGAAGCTCTCCTGATTTCTATCATCCAATCATGTGCAAGCAAAAATACGTGTTTTTTCTTTTCCTTGCATGTGATTGGGTATTCTTTGGAAAGTGAAGCTTTACGTAATTTAAAGTGTTACTAAACCCACAACAATAAAATCAGTCTGTATATGCAGTAAAGCATGCTTGATATACTCACTGTGGAACCTAAGGGGTTCATTCTCTGCATTGTGTAAAAACGCTGTTTGATCCTGACTTCTCTGATCCTCCCCCTTCTTCCAGTCTCCTCCTCTTATCTCCTGATAAGACATATCTTGTGGAGTCACTCTGCACATGCTCAGTTTGGTGTGTACTGCTAAGGAGATTTTTTTTTTTACTTGAGAGAGTGCGTGTGGCCATCACAGGGCCAATCAACACTGTCCAGACAAAGGTCAGCGGTCCTACATCCTCCTAAAGCAGAAAGAAAACTCCTCGTACAAGCTTTAACCAGTGCTCTGCTAGACACTGATAGAAGTCACAAGACTGCTCTAACTGCTGACAAGAAAAGGTATTTAGAATTTTATATTTACTAAAATAATTGCATTTCCATGTTCTGTGGGAGACCAGATATAGTGCATGCAGGGTCTTGGGTTTAAGAAACACTTTATTAAGCTCTGGAGTATCTGCATTTGCAGTGCACAGTATATTTGCCTTTAGTAAAAAGACTGCTGTAAATATGTATTGTGGCGTACTACAGCTAACAGAATATCCTTTAATTCTAAAGTTTGCCATAAAAAAAAAAAAACACATTTCATGAAATCAGACAGCATACATTAATAGTTTGTTTATTGGGCACAAGCGTATACAGTATGTGTATCAAACATTTGATGAGTTATAGGTTTTCCTTGACTTTTATTTTCAA